TGCTCCACTTCCAATCTAGCTTCCTGCTAATGCACCTGGAAAAGCAGAAGCAGAAAGCCCAAGTACTTGAACCTCTGACACTCATGTGGGAGACCAGGTCCTGGCTCATAGCTTCAGCTTGGCCCAGACCTGGCTGTTGGGCCATTTGGGCAATGAACCAGCATATCGAAGATATCTGTCTCTTCCTCTCTCTCTGTTGCTATGCCTTCCAAATAAACAAATACTTCTTTTAAAAAGGAGAGAGGATGAAATTCTGATCCATGCTATAACATGCTATAACTTGATAATTTGCTAAGTGAAATAAGCCAGTAACAAAATTATAAATATTGTGATTCCATCTATATTAGGTTCTAGAATGAGCAAATTCAGAGACAGAGAGTAGCAGAGAAGTTTTTAGAGGGCAAGAGTGAGGGAAGGAGATGGCAGAGAGGGGAACGGGATCTGGAAAATTACTAAATGCAAGTTTCGGTTTGGGTTGGTGAGTTTCTGAAGGTCAATGGTAGTGATAGTTGCATAGCATTTTGAGAATACTTGGTTCCACTGAATCATAACTGAAAAATGGTTAAAATGGCGAGTCCTATGTTATAAATATTTGTCACAATTTTTAAACGAGTTGAATGTATTTGTATGGTTCTACTTTCCATTCCTAATCCCTAAGAGATTCTTCCCACAGTACCATACAGCTTCAACCTTAAAATGTGAGCTTTATGCATGTTTTTCTTAAAGTCACCACATAGATTTCTCCTCTTTGAAGTTGTATTTTTCCTCACAGATAGGTAAATATAATAAGCAGTGATGATCCTACTTGCTATGAGAAGCAAAACAACAGCCCTAAGTGAGACTAGTTGCTGCTCTGACATCAAGTCACAAACCTCAACTGTCTACTTAAACAGTAATAGTATCCTCTTTGCCATGATCACTGTGTCATCACAGTGCTCTGGAAACTGCGGAATGCTGTTCAGTTATCTAGATTATCATTTTAGCCATAGTACATAGTATTTATATTACTGCAGTTTTAGCTATTTGCCTGATAATGGAAGTAAGTTTATAACCATCTGACTTTCTCCTCGTCAGACCTTTCCACACTAGACTTCAGTTTGGTCATACTATGAGTATCTCGTCAAGTTAGACTTTCCCAGTTATGGTATTAACTGATAAGTAAACCAGGAACACTGAGCCACTAGTTTATATTCAGAGTTTGTGACCCATATACAGAGCCTCTCCCTTCCCAGAATCACACACCCATAAAAACCGAGTCATCACAAAGATATTGGAGCATGGGTTCAGAGCCAACAAAGAGAAGCTGCTTTGAGATATTTTTGACCCAAGATTAAGCCTTAGTAAATTATTCCACTGCACTATCAAGGCCCCCTTCCCCCAATACAAATAGTTCACTTTCTCCAAGGTCAAGGCCCTTCTTGCTGGAGTTCTGATGGATTTGGGCTTTGTCGGCCATTAGCCTCTTTTAGAACTCCCCCCAGGACACTTTGTGGTTTAGTGTAACACCATTTTGGTTGTAGTCAATTTTATTTTATCCACAGAGCTATTTTGTCTAAATGTGTTTGTATATATGGTGATCTCATTCATTGTATGTTGACTTTATTAGAATACTCAGTGTTCTGCCAAGACTCATCAATCCTCAGTTCCAAGGGACCTCTTTGATGGATGAGGTATACCTTGGCTGCCCACCAAGCCTTCAGCATGATGGGCTGGCAGTATGTCTTAATTTCCGCCCCCAATTTCTCAATCCCATTCTTGGTTTACATTGGTTTTTCAGAGCACTTGGATGCAGTATCTTGATGCAGTAATTCTGAGTTTCTCCCCTGTTGAGTAGGTCCCCAGTGACTTGTGCACTTACTGCTATTTAATTTACCACCGCCACAGCAAGGTCCCTTTGTGGGGACATCCTTGGCTTCTGTTTTATAAAGACTAGCACTAGGTGGCAGCAACAGAAAGTGAAAGGCCTAGTGTTGGCCCACAGGGAATGGCAGGGCAAATTTGGGTAACAAGAGACTCTATTTATGCAACCCTAATAAGATTTGGTAATTCGTTTAAGAGACAACAACAACAACAACAACAACAACAACAACAAAAAAAATGTGAGGAAAGAAAGGTACCTCTAAGAGTGTGAGCCCAGCAGGTGAGGCAGGCAGGGGTTGGAATAGGGATACCACTGACAGAAATGAGCCAGCTAGGAAGGGACAGAGAAGACAATAAATATGCTTATAGACAAGGTGAGATTAAGAACTGAAAGGTGATGGCAAAATTGCAGTCACTCTGAAACACTTCAGAGTCCCACTGGGTACAGGAAAAAGAGCTAACACCAACCTAAGAAGGTCAGAACACTAGAGAATGTGTTATTGGGTTACTCTGAGGGAACCAACTGGTTCCCTAGACCCACTTATCACTAATGAATCCAGGAGGAAGTTCCCTAATTTTTGTCTTACTGAAATTCTTTTTTTTTTTTCTTGCTTCATTTCAGTGATGAAAGAGAAAGTACGCTTCCTTTGTCTAAACATGAAACCAGGTTGCATGAGCAATGCTGGTATTGGCAAATGATTCATTGACAAAATGCCAGTCCAGTCAAAATTGAATGCTCAGATTCCCTTTCAAATTTTCCCATTCTATTGGAAAAGCTTTCAAAAAGAACCAAGTTTTAAAATAATAATTGGCATTTGTACTGTTTCACAGAGAACTGTGTGAATACTGTATTTGTTCAGTTTTACTTTAGGAGCTGTGATGTGATGGGCTGTAGATTTACATAGGGATAGATCCTAATTTTTCCCTATTTATTTATTTGAAAGGCAGAGTTGCAGAGGCAGAGGCAGAGAAAGGCCTTCTATCTGCTGGTCACTCCCCAGATGGCTTCAACTGCTGGAGCTGAGCCAATCCAAAGCCAGGAGCCTGGAGCTTTTCCAGGTCTCTGACATGCGTGCACAGGGGCCCAAGGACTTGGGCCATCTTCTTTTGCTTTCCCAGGCCAGAGAACTGGATTGGAAGTGGAGCAGCTGGGACTCAGACCAGTGCCCTTATGGGATGCTGGTACTGCAGGCAGTGGCTTTTACCTGCTATGCCACAGCACAGGCCCCAGAACCTAACTTTCAAGTCCCTGAAGCTCTGAGCAGCATTTGCTCATGTGTGAGACATGGCCTACATGACCAATCCTATTATGGAGTGGATTGGGCCACTCCAAAATTCTTACTCTGACACACAAGTTTAATTAGGGTGCTTGTTAAGTGCAGAGTCAAATTCCAGCTCTCACCACCAGATGTCACGGTTGCTTCCTGACTAGAAAATAGGCAGTCATTAGTCATCCCTCTGCATCAGAAGGGGGATTGATTCCAGGACCACCCTCCCCACTCCAGGCTATCAAAACGAGGATCTTCAAGTTCCTTATGTAAAATGGCATAGTGTGTGACCTATGCAATCTTCCCATACACTTTAAATCTCTAGATTACTTAGAATACAGCAGGGAAGGCTGGCATTAAGTGATGACAACAAAGCATGATGAATACCACATACAGGCTTCAACAGGATCATGGGCTGGGATAGGACTACAGGTCTCCATGAGGAGGTGGTTCTACTTTGAGATAGGATGTCAAATTTTAACTGAGGCAGATTCCTTGGCTTATTTTGGCTGTTACTGGAGCACTGGTTCACTCTCCTTTCTCTCATATTGTAACTGTGACTTTCAAAGAAATCTTTAAGGAAAAAAAAAAAAAAAAAAAAAAGAAAATTTCTAAAATTCATTCCTCTACAGAAAGTTTATCCTTCAAGAAACAATTGTTGGGGCCAGTGCTGTGGTGCAGTGGGTTAAAGCCCCAACCTGCAGGGCTGGCATCCCATATGGGCAGGTTTGAGTCCCGGATACACCACTTCTGATCCTGCGCTCTGCTATGGCCTGGGAAAGCAGAAGATGGCCCAACCTCTTGGGCCCCTGCACCCATGTGGGAGACCCAGAAGAAGCTCCTGGCTCCTGGCTTTGGGTCAGCTCAGCTCTGGACATTGTGATCATTTGGGGAGTGAACCAGCGGATGGAAGACCTTTCACTCTCTCTAGCTCTACCTCTTTGTAACTTTCAAATAAACTTTTTTTTTTTTTTAAGAAACAAACAATTGTTAGTATTGCCTAAATGCATTTTATATCCATTCAAAGCTGAGAAAATACTCCTTCGTAATATAATGTATGTTTTATTTGAAAGACAGTTACAGATCTTCCACCTGCTGGTTCACTCCCCAAATGGCCACAATGGCCAGGGCTGGGCCAGGCACCTGGAACTCCATCCAGGTCTCCTATGTGGGTGGCAGTGGCCCAAGTATTTGGGGTATCTTTTGCTGCTTTCTCAGGCACAGTAGTAGGAACCCAGATCAGAAGTGGAGCAGCCGTGACTCAAATCTGCTTGTGTGGGATGCCAGCATCACAAGCGGAGGCTTAACCGCTGCGTGTGCCACCGTGCTGGCCTCATAGATGTATTTTGAAAGCACTTTCACATAAAGCTACACAGTGATGTATCGTTCAGTGAGGACCACCGAAGTTACCTAGTCCAAGTCTAATTTCATAGTTTTATAACTGTTGTATTCACTTCAAAGGCCAATATTTCAAGTCTCTAATACTTGTTGGCAGCTACCATTTTACTCACCATTCTATATTCTCTGTAAACAAAAATGCTTTGAAAGAATGGACTGTCGTCCTCCTTAAAGGACACTCATCTAAACTGAAAACAAACAAACAGGACTATAGCTCCTCTGAGTTGCTAAGCTCAAATGAAATTATGCATGATTCCTATCTCTTGGGGTTGTTAGGAAGCTTACTGGATATTACACATGTGTAAGTGCTTACACTGGTGGATGGCACACAGTAGATGCTCTATAAATGTCAGCTATAATTTTTATTTGATACTCTTTAACTCTGGTTCCACCAAAGGTACAAAATATTCTGTGATTCTCTTGGAACTTAATTTCTGTGCTACTCTTTTTCCAAACTGAAATAAATACAAGACATTTAATATGTTTACTTACTTTAATAACAATATGTAGATCATGCTATCACCATGGAATGTAAGTTCAGGTTAGACAAGAGATTTCACAACTGCAGTAATGTATCCTGTAGTATATCAAAGTTTGTGTATAACGTCTGACCAACCAGCTTGCTCATAAACTATTGATCACTTCCACTATAGGTAATTTAACATTTATGAGTCTTACACAGAAAATTAAAAAACACTGCACACATTTTAAAAGTGTTAATTTACCTTTGTATTAGCAGTTAAAATACATGTTTCTATTTCAAGGTGACATTTAGAAATTATGCTAGTATAACAGCAGCAAAAATATAATTCTGCAGTTTTTACAAAAGAGCTAACCTGGAATCCATAATTAAATTAGTCTCACATCTACAAGTATGATTCTGAAATAAATACTACTATGCAGCTGTCTTAAAAGCTTGCTACCTTTTGTTTGTGTACATACACAAGTACACACACACACACATACACACACATTCAGGTGTGGGAGGCTTTACAAATTATATTCCATGAACTTTTTGAAAAAGAGTTCTTTCAGAGATAACCAATCCCAAAAACTGAAATATTCATCCAGTCTATGAGGCAGGCAGAAAAAAGTGAATTAACTGGGTAAACAGGACTCCTTTCCAACACACGAAGCATGAGACACTGCAGCAAACTGGGAATAACTGCAGCATTGGCCTGCTGTGATCTTTAGGACTAATTTCATCACAAGGGTTGGGGTGGAGGGAGAACATTTTAATACCAGGTGTAAAATGAGACCTATTAGTGAACTAGTCACTAATAATTTGGTCACGAGGAGGTCCATATTCAAAATACCATGTATTATTGTCTAAACCCACTCAAATTATTTATTTTCGATATAACACATAACCTCAATATGAGATGTCTAACTAAAGGAAGCATCTCCAACAAGGCCAAGCCAGCATCTCTTCTAAGGTTTAGGTTTCGCCCAGAATTCCCGATACATGGAATAGCCCATACCTAAAGAAAAAGAATACTAGTTAAACATTTGATATTATGAAAAATTTTAAAATTTCTTAATAGCTAATGTGGAGTATCTACAAAGGTAACAAAACCCCTTTGCCTTAATAGTTTACATTTCTAAAACTCTTTTCACAAAGTTTACATAGTTTCCCAAGTAGCTCAAAGATGCCATGACTAACTCACAATGTTTGAATACTCCTATTTGTTTTTAAAAACAAAGAATATTTAGCTGGAAACTTCAAAAAGGAGTAACTCTTGTTCCATGATACCAGTTAATAAATTATAATGCCACTAAAAGCATGTAATATCTATACTTTAAAATGTCTCTCACAGATAATGGATGTTACCACCAATCCTATTTCTATGTCTAGACTCTTCAATGAAACTATAAACTCAGTGATGGACAGGACTACTATTTCTTCTTTCTTTAAAACCTCAGTAGAATATATCATATACAGGTAAACTATGTCACTACTTGAATTACTTGTATTCAATTTTTACACAGGTCATACCTTGTTTTGTTTGTAAAGACATGCTTAATAAATTTGAAATTTCCTGTGAGAACCTACCAAGAGTCATTGCCCCTACAACAAAGCCTTGAGCCGCCACACGCATGTGAATGAGGTGAAGGGACATTTTCGTATTTCCCCTGCTCTTCAGTTTGTACAGTCCATATGCAACAATTGCTGCAAACCCCGCCATTCCTGTAAAACAGTCAAAAGTGTGTAAGGGGCCTGGGGAGGGATCCAGATGATTCTACCATCAACTGATGTACTTTTACTACAACAAAACAAACGTGGCTAAAGGTATTTTTTATTGTTATTATTTTTATTTGTATTTGGTGGCTAAAGGTTTTATCTTGAGTTAAGGAATGAATTTATTCATTTTAACACTATAATTACATTTTTAAAAATACCCTGAATAACAAGGTAAAGATAACCACCAACACTACAGGAATAGCTGCAGAACTTCCAAATCATTACAAGAAAAATAAAAGGAAACAAAGTATAAATAAAAAATAAAATAGATGGGAGGAAAAAAAAACTTATTTTACTAAATATAGATGTAGGTTAAACAGAAAACAAATATACATTACAAGAGGATATAATTGAGATATCTGCTCTTCTCAATTAAATTTGAGAATCTGGGTGAAATGAATTGATTTCTGAGGAAAATACAAATTAATAAATTCCAAAGGAAATATAAAATATCTTCATATATCAATAACAGAAAGAATTAAAAGTATAATCTAAGATTGACTCCCATAAGACTAAAATAGTTTTATAAGCAAGATCTAATAAATTGTAAGGACATTCTGCATTTGTATTCCAAAACATTAAAAAAAAGATGGCAGTATATTTTTTCCAAAACTTTTCTTTTTAGATTTATTTTATTTATTTGAAAGAGTTACAGAGAGAGGTAGAGACAGATAGAGAGGTCTTCCATCTGCTGGTTTACTCCCTAGATGGCCACAGTGGCCAGAGCCGCGCCTATCTGAAGCCAGGAGCCAGGAGCCTCCTGGTCTCCCACATGGGAGCAGAGCCCAAGGATTTGGGCCCCCCTCCATTGTTTTCCCCGGCCACACAGAGAGCTGGACCAGAAGAGGAGCAGCTGGGACCAGAACCAGCGCCCATATGGGATCCCTCGCCTCAGGCCAGGGCTCTAGCCTGCTGCACCACAGCGCCAGCCCCCCAAAACATTTTTTAAGGAAACCTTGATACCAAAACAAAATTAAGATAAAGTGAGAAAAAGCAATATAAATTATGAATATAGATGTAAAATCACTAAACCAAATATACATAAAAATACACATAACACCACAACTAATCAACTGTAAAACTGTATTAGAATAATATGGTTAGTCATGACTGTTAGACTGTGATTGGGAATTAACTATTGTTTCCACATAAAATATCTCAAGACTTACAACACATTGTGCTTGCACATTTATCATATTTTAAGTACTTCTGTCCTTAGATATTTAGTACATTTTAAAAGGATGAAATAAAATATAAAATATTCTTGCTGCCACCTGAGTTGTCACTTACATAAATGCCTTCTTTGGGGCCCATGAATTCACATTTACACTGCCCTGCTGACAGACACTGGAGCTGCTCCCATTATGCTACTTTCATAAGGTGCTGCAAATCAATGTGCACACATATCACATAATGCTTAATTGTATTTGTGCCAACACGCTGATGGGCTGGCTTTCCCATACTCCAAACAGCACTACTTTTTTTCACCTTGTTTTTTCCATTTTTACAACTTTCACAAATATAAAATATCTTGTTTAATTTTGTATGTTTACTGGTTGAACAAATTTTCATTTTGATTGGCCATTCAGGTTTCCTCTTCTTTGAATTAGCTTGTTTTATGTTGCTTATCTTTTCCTAATTGAATTACAATTATTGTATATTTTGAATATATTTTTTTTTGACAGGCAGAGTTAGTGAGAGACAGAGAGAAAAGTCTTCCTTTTCCGTTGGTTCACCCCCTAAATTGTTGCCATGGCCGGCGCACTGCACCGCTCTGAAGCCAGGAGCCAAGTGCTTCCTCCTGGTCTCCCATGTGGGTGCAGGGCCCAAGCACTTGGGCCATCCTCCACTGCCTTCCCGGGCCACAGCAGAGAGCTGGACTGGAAGAGGAGCAACCGGGACAGAATCTGGTGTCAAGCCTTCTCGACTCCAGAATTTAGGTTCATCTATTTTTTTTTTAATTATTTTATTTATTTGAGCGGTAGCGTTACAGTGAGAGGGAGAGACAAAGGTCTTCCATCTGTTGGTTTATTTCCCAAATGGCTGCGGCTGAGCTGATCTGAAGCCAGGAGCCAGGTGCTTCTTCCTGGTCTCCAATGTAGGTGCAGGGGCCCAAGCATTTAGGCCATCTTCCTCTGCTTTCCCAGGCCATAGCAGAGCTGGATTGGAAGAGGAGCAGCCAGGAATAGAACTGGTGCCCATATGAGATACTGGCACCGTAGGCTGAGGATAAACCTACTGAGCCACGACACCAGCCCCAGTTCCTCTATTTCTTTATATATATATATATTTTTTTTTGACAGGCAAAGTGGACAGTGAGAGAGAGAGAAAGGTCATCCTTTGCCATTGGTTCACCCTCCAATGGCCGCCGCAGCCGGCGCGCTGCAGCCGGCACACCGTGCTGATCTGAAGGCAGGAGCCAGGTGCTTCTCCTGGTCTCCCATGGGGTGCAGGGCCCAAGCACTTGGGCCATCCTCCACTGCACTCCAGGGCCACAGCAGAGATCTGGCCTGGGAGGGGCAACCGGGACAGAATCCAGCACTCCGACCGGGACTAGAACCCGGTGTGCTGGCACCGCAAGGCGGAGGATTAGCCTGTTGAGCCGCGGCGCCGGCCTATATTGTTGTTTTAACACTGAGTACTAATCTATCTCTGAGGGTATGATAGGAGGTGAAATCTCCCTTTTTTCTCTTTCCATTCATATGGTTAATTTTTGAAAACAGTGCTTTGGGTATACATTTTGCATTGATCTGAGATGCCAGCAATGTCATGTACAAAGCATACCTCATAAGCTAGTATACTTGCATTACTCTATCTTCACACAAAAAGCTTATCTGGTACTTTGAAATTGACCTATCAAATTCTGTAACAGGGTAAAAATGTCCAAGTGGGGTTTATATTTGGATTTCAATGAATTTCTAAATTTTGGGAGAACAGAAACTTTAGAATGTGGTACATATACCAGCTTTCATTTGAATCTTATTTGGGATCTCCAGTAATAATAATATCTGTATGTATCCTTTCTTACTTCTGACTTCAAAGTCATTGTTTCTACTATTTTAACACTTTAATATAATTTATACTTGTTTTTTGTTTCTGAAATACACCATCTAATTTACTGATATCCTTTATATGCTGCAAGGCCTTCAGGGGCACTGCATTTGTATATGACTGATCCCCAGTAGAACCCTGACACGAAGATTTGGTGGACTTCCCTGGATGGCAGTACTTGACACAACATTGCTGGAAGAATTAAGTGCACCCCATGTCACTCCACTGGAAAGGAAAACCTGGAAGCTTGTGCATTATGTCTCCTGGACTTCATCCCATAAGCTTTTGCTTTAATCTGTGTGCTTCCAATGTAATAAACCCTAACTATGAATTTAATAGTTTTCTTAAGCCTAGTAAGTCCTAAGAGTAGTCTTGGAGTCTACTGTTCAGTGAAATAGTCAATAAAACAAGACTAAATACACACAGAACACTTTTATAAGATTTTTATCATGCCAATTGCGGCAAATTGTAACATAACAAAAAATATTTGAAAGTAAATTCTTTTAGGATATGCTAGATGAACAAGCTTACCAGGTTTCTATTGTTTCACACTTACAGCCAACTAATTATTAGAATGTCAAAATCAAATTTACCAATGGGGACAAATGGTGCCTCTTTAGCTTTTCGGATAAGTTTGGATCCCTGATCTTCATCATATGAAGAAAGAGAAACATCTGTATTGGTTGACATATTGGTTGTTTGAAGAATCTTCCTGAAAGAGAGTTTCTATGAGATTCTGTAAGTAAAAACATCTATAATGATTAATACCCATAATTAAAATATTCTAGTTTTCCATGAAAACACACGTGTGTTATCCATGAACTTTAAAAGCTATTTTTAAAAATTCACTATTTTTAACCTGTAGCTACTTTTAGGGAGTTATTTATTTGAAAGGCAGAGTTAGAGATGCAGAGGCAGAGAGAGAAGGAAAAGGGAGAGGAGGGGGAGAGATAAAGAGAGAGAGCTCTTCCACCTGCTGGTTCACTCCCCAAATGGCCACAACGGCTGCAGCTGGGCCAGACAGAAGCCAGGAACAAGGAGCTTCATCCGGGTCTCCCAAATTCGTGCAGGGGCCCAACCACTTGGACCATCTTCTGCTGCTTTTCCAGGTACATCAGCAGAGAGCTGGATCAAAAGTAGATCAGCCAGGACTCAAACTGGTGCCCATATGGGATGCCACACTGCAAATGGCTGCTTAATCTGTTACACCACAACACCGGCCCCTTTCAAATTATCTACTTCATTTTATTTCTTTTAAGATATATTTATTTTTTTGAAAGCTACAGTTAGAGAGAAATCTTGAAGCTGCTGGTTTACTCTCCAAATGGCTGCAACAGCAGGAGCTGGGCCAATCTAAAGCTAGGACACAGAAGCTTCTGCCACGTCTCCCACAAGGATGCAGGGGCCCAAGTGCTTGGACCATCTTCCACTGCTTTCCCAGGTGCATTAGTAAGGAGCTGGATAGTAAGTGGAGCAGCTGGGACTCGAACTGGTGTTTACATGGGATGTCATTACCTGCTATGCCACAGGGCTGGCCCCCCTACCATACTAAAAACAGTGAAATTTAAAAAAACAAACTTCTATCAGTTAAGACAGTAGCTATTAATTTTCTAGCTATCCTCATTCTTAATCAACTTCAACTGGACAACTTTCCAACCAAAGTGATAATCCCTATTGCTTCTTCAATATGTTGGGAAATCCTACTAAGCATTTTTAAGTGTAGTTAATAGCGGTTTTTATTGCTTTCAAATGCAGACTTATTAATAATCTGGCTTCAATTCTCACCTCTGAGCAACTTCCCACCTATTATACTAATTTGTTATCAATGGTGATTGTTTTTGGGAAAAGGATAAGTTATTCTGAACAGTCAAAATTTCTACCTACTTCATTATTTATTCCCTTTAGGGACAAAGCTTTTCATTTTAAATAACGTTGCTAGAAATTCTTCCTTTTAAACCTAATTTATATTCAATTCAGCACAAGATAGTGTTTTAGTTTTTTTATAGTATTATTACCTAGGGTTATCACTGTTAATATCACTGTAGCACAAAACTGCAGGCCACCTGAATGAATGAATTCTAAGTTTAGATCTGCCTTCCTTTTTATATACCTTGCATTCCCTAGCTTCCCCCTTAAAATGCTCTACCTTCTTTTTATATTATTCCTTTAAATGGTATTCAAAAGGCAATAAACTAGCCTGATAGTTATATAACAGGAACAGACATTACCACAGAGAGCAAAGTCTCCTTTCTTCTGTTTTAGTCATCTGTTCTCAGGAAGTTATTAGGCATTTCATCACAGTGAGACAGTAAATTCAGTTCTACCTTTGTCACAACAATGTGTACACTTTCTTCATCCCTATCACAACAGCTCTCATTCAATACCTTTCTTTTTTTCAAAGATTTATCTATTTATTTGAAAGTCAGAGTTACAGAGAGGGAGGGAGAGGCAGACAAATTTTCCATTCATTGGTTCACTCCCCAGATGGCCACAACAGGCTGCACTGGGCTATGCAGAAGCCAGGAGCTTCACATTGGTCTCCCACATGGGTGGGAGGGGCCCAAACATCTAGGCCATCTGCAGCTTTTCCCAGGCCATCAGCAGGAAGCTGGATAGGAAGTGGAGCACACAGTGCCCATGTGGTATGTCGGTATCACAGACAGAGGCTTTACACTACTATACCCAAAGGCCTGCCACAGTTCATTGCCTTTCTATTCAAGGAGGGGCTAGTGACAGATAACATTTTCAGAGAAAACGCGAGAGGGGTGTGTGGGGGAGGATGCTTAGTTTGAAAAGGGATTTATCCCGCTAAGCCCCACCCCATTGAGCAGAGTCAATCCCATCATCTGACAGAAAAGAAAACCTTGGCTAGATAGGAGAAAACTCGGATTAGAACTAGACTTCCTTTTTTATATTCTATTTTTTCCCAACTAAATGAACTCCCTACTTATTGAGCTTTTACTTTGTACCAGGTCCATAAGCTCAAGGTTCATTATGCTCACTGAAAATCTAAAGAGATAAAACTTGAGTAATAACACAAACAGTGACTCAAAAATTAGTTATTTTAAAAAACTGGGATGACAGTGTAACAAGACAATGAAGACTGAATTTAGTGGGGTATGGCCTTCTAGCCAAAGGTTTGGGAAGTTTCACAAGGAGTTGAGATTGCCTTTGAAGAAACTGCATAAATGGACTGGATGGAGGGATTTAACATTAATTGCAGAATGGAATGTTTTTAGTCGTCTTCATACCCAGTTGTAAGCTTCTCAGAGATATAACTGTGTTTATCACAAACATCCTTTCCAACTCCCTCCCTAACCTCCATCTAACCACATCATTCTATTTGCTCTGTATACCTCCAAGCCTTTGCACAAGCTGATTCCTCCTTTTTTTCCCACACTGCCCATCCTCTTCAGATCATTTTTCCTAGCTCACTCTTTCATTTTTTCAGGTTCCTATCTGAACAGACCTCTGGGAAATCGTCTGACTGCCTAAGTTTATGACAGGTGCTTTGGTTATGCAGTAATAGGACCCAGCACTTTCTCTATGGTAACCCTCCCAAAAGCCTACTTAAATTGTCTGTTTCTTTTGCTAGAATTTCCTGAAGTCAGAGGCCTCTACCTGCCCTGCTTAAGTCTATGTCCACTGCCTGGCACAATGCCCTTTATTCACTAAGTATAACACAAAATGTTTGCTTAATAAATTTAAGTTATATTTCTGAACAATTAGAATTATTCTCAGGTAATTTATCTACGAATACTTACTGAAAAATAGCAATCATCCACATCTGTAAAGTTTAATCAGTAAGAAAATGACGAACTGTAGGTACCTAAATGCTTATTTCTTTTATAATTCTTATGTTGTACCGATGAAAGGAGAAACAAGAAGAACCCGAACAGGTCCTGGTTTCTTGCAAACATGAGAGATAAAACTACCATAAGGCCGGTGCCGCGGCTCACTAGGCTAATCCTCCGCCTTGCGGTGCCGGCACACCGGGTTCTACTCCCAGTCGGGGCGCCGGATTCTGTCCCGGTTGCCCCTCTTCCAGGCCAGCTCTCTGCTGTGGCCAGGGAGTGCAGTGGAGGATGGCCCAAGTGCTTGGGCCCTGCACCCCATGGGAGACCAGAAGTACCTGGCTCCTGCCATCGGATCAGCGCGGTGCGCCAGCCGCGGCGGCCATTGGAGGGTGAACCAACGGCAAAAGGAAGACCTTTTTTCTCTGTCTCTCTCACTGTCCACTCTGCCTGTCAAAACAAAACAAAAAACTACCATAGACCACAATCCACGTAACACTAGAAGCTTCGATATAAAAGCATGCTTCCCTCCCTTAACCTTAATTCTCTTAAACTAAGACATCACTTGGGGATTGTCCTTGAAAGCAGGGAAGTGTGTGGTTTTCGAATCATCTCACCCTGGATGACTGCAGTTGTGTAACCAGTCGACAGAGCACCAAGTGTTTCCCCTCCTTTCAGGAGGAAGGGGATGCATTCCCTTTCCAGTCTGTACAACAACAGAAGAAAACCTGTCGTTCTGTGTTCTTCACCCCCCGAAGCTTGTACAGATGGGGCATCTGATCTGACTTTCACAAAGCAGCCTCTGGGGTAGCAATCAGGATGTGGGGGATGTGGTTATTGCTTCCTTTAAAGAACTAATGATAACCCCTTTCTGATCCAGAACACTTCAGGTGCACATTTCAAGATAAAATGGGGCGGCGTTGTGGCATAGTGGGCTCCGGTCCAGCTCCCTGCTACTAGCCTGGGAAAAGCAGCGGAGGACGGCCCAAGTGCTGGGGGTCCCTGCCACCCACGTGGGAGACCCAGAGGAAGCTCCTGGCTTCAGCCACCTGTGGAGTGAACCAGTGGATGGAAGATCTCCCCCTCTTTTTTCTCAAACTCCGACTTTGAAACACAAACATAAATCTCTTTAAAAATTTTCAAGAAAAAGATGCTTAAAAAAAAAAAGTTAAAGGGACTGATGTGAAAAGGTTTTTCACTAACACCACTGCTGAGTGTTCCTAAATGACTGCTTTCTCATCTACCCAAATGACCCAGAAAGCTGAAGAGATGCGGAGAGAGGCACCGGACAGCCAGACGTTCGGTGCCTCGGAGAACTGGAATTCTTCGGTAAGTTTAGTAAAATACTAAGGAGGGCTCTCCCAAAGGCACAAGAACACTGAGACCGACCCGAGACAGGCCTCCGAGTGCTGAATCACTGTGGCTGCCCCTGTTCTGCAGGGCCCCGCGCTTTGTAAAAACCTCCCCGGCAGGGTCCGAGCGCGGATGCCTCACTGGGGCCCGAGGCCTGCTGGCCCTCGCCGGGCAGGCGGAGAGGGTGGGCGGGCACGGCGCGTCCGGGGGCGGGAGACCACGGCCGGAAGGTCCTCGGGCTTCTCGCCGTCCCCCGCACCTCGCCCCCTGTGACCTTGTCAGGACTCCCATGGCCGGAGCCCCGCTCGCTCTACCCGGCCCCACGCGGCGCCGGCCGCGGGCTCCCGAGGTGGGCGCCGGCAACACCCCGCCTCCCCGCCTCTCGCCCACTCCCCACCCGCGAGTCTTCCCCACTCGGGGCACTCACTCCACAGGCCTCCGCTTCGTGCGCTCGCCGCCCCTTGTCCCCGGGCCCTGTCCTCCGACCCCACACCTGCCCCGATCCTCAAGGTCGGGCCTGGGCCGCGCCAGCTACACCTCGCCCCCTCAGTCCAGTCGCGGCCGCTAGGCCCCCAACCCTTCCAAGGCCCTCTGGCTGCCCCCACTTGTTCCCTCCCCACAGCCGGGTGCCCAGATCTCACAATACTCCACGCTTCACTTACCGACTGCAACAACCCCAAAAACCCTCCAACCGGCTTCTGGCCCAACCGCGCGCGCCGCATCCGGCAGGCTTCTCCCTGTCCCGCCCACCGCCGGATCCAGCCAATCAGAAGGTAGGACACAGCACACGGGCGCCCCGGCGCCGGCAGGGCGTGCGCGTGCGTGCGTGCGCGCGCGGGCGGGGCTGCCCGGAGAGGGCTCCGGATTGGCTGCGGCGGCGTGCGGGTGGGGCCGGGTCCCCGGCTTCGCGTGCGGATCGAGTGGGACGTGCGAGCTGGGCGTCCCCGGTTCGCGTCAGGTCACCTGAGAGGTCCTGGCCCATGTCCCCGGAGGACCTCAGATTTCTCTCGCCCTTTTCCCCTCGGGCAGGGTGAGGGGTGAGGGGTTTGGGCCGCGGCGGGTCCTCTGGGGCCCGGGGCTGGGGTGGCAGCACGCGCCTGTCCTCTGGGGCGCTGACGGCCGCGGGGCGCTCCTCCCTCCTGGCACCGTCTGCGGGGAAGGAGCGCCTTGGGCCGCCCGGGGTAGGGCCCTTCCGGTGCCCTGCATTCTAGTGGGGCAGCCCAGATGGCCACCACGGACGGAGTTGTGGGCTGGGACCTCGCTCGGGCCACGGGAGGGGCCTCTGCGGAGGAAGTGTGCAGGCCCGGCGTGGCCTCGGACTTCCGGGACAGGGCTCCTGGTTAGTACCTGGGCTAGATGACCAGTCACCATGGGTGACTGTACCGTGGAGGTATCTGGCGTAATTAGAGCTCCCTCCCCCATCCCATAGAGCACAAACCAAGGCAGGCTGCAAACTGTCGTGTCACATAGCTGCTGGGCAGCAGATGCCGTGGGCTGAGGATTTCGAAAGTCAAAAATCTTAAGACATGTAGGAAACACTCATACCATGGATGATAGACTAAGCATCCCGTGCCTTGACCGCGCGGTGGCTTCCACGTACGTACGTATGTTGTTAGGTTGATTCTGCTGTCTCCTTAAACTCTTACCATTGTGCTCAGAAAGACAAAACCCCTCGCTTTAACTAGAAGCCTTAGCAAACAAGTAGGGACAATCTGGCACTCTTTCAAGGAAATTAAAACGGAAGAGACTGACCGCCCAGTACAGAAGTAAGCAAAGAGGAAGTCAGCAAGTCCCTACATGGTGGAAGTAACAGCAGCAGTGATCAAAGTTCCTGAAAGGAACTTAAACACATCGCCAAGATAATGTCAGTCAATTTGTTAATCTCCAGAGAAATAGGGGATTATGCAGACCTGAGTGCAAGTTTGACCTTAATTTCTTAAAATGTCACTTTAATTTTAAGGTGAGATAATGGTAGTGATGCTTAGGAAATATGTGTAGTGTCTACCATTGCTTTAAAAGTCCCTGTGCCGTGGTGAGCGTAACAAGGCAGACTCTGTCCTCAGGGCGCTCACACAGTAAAGATATGCACCTGTCATACAAAAGTCATTAAATGGCAAGTAGCAGAAAGACAGGACTGTAACTGGAAATTTTGATCTACATAATTAGCATGCCATAACGATTTTCAGGACATGGAAAAGAAGGGAAATGGATTTTTAAAAAAGATTTATTTATTTATTTGAAAGAGTGGAAGAGAATGAGAGAGGTCTTCCATCCAATGATTCACTCCCTAGGTGGCTGCAACGGCCAGAGCTGGGCCAATCCAAAGCCAGGAGCCAAGAGCTTCCTTGGGTCTCCCACTGTGGATGCAGGGGCCCAAGCACTTGGGCCATCTTCTGCTTTCCCAGGTCATAGCAGAGAACTGGATCAGAAGTGGAGCAGCCGGGACTAGAACCGGCGCCCATGTGAGATACCAGCACTGCAGGCGCAGCTTTACCTGCTATGCCATGGTGCTGGCCCCAAGGGAAATGGATTTTTATACACAAACTAGGACTCACTACTGTTAATATTAAAAATATATATACAAGGGACAGTGTTTGGTCTAGGGGTCAAGATGCTGGTTAGGACGTCCATGTTCCCGTCAGTTTCACCAAAATCCAGGTTCCTGGTAATGCAGACCTCGGGAAGCAGCTGTGATTGCTCAGATCGCCATTCCTGCTTCCCAGATGGGAGACCTGAATTGAGTTCCTGGTTGCCCCCTGAAGGTTCAGCTGTTGCAGACTTTTGGGTAGTGAACCAGCCAATGGGAGGGGTCTCTTTCTCTGCCTCTCACTATTTAACAGACACGTATATGAGAAAGAGAGTTTAGATAAATCTGAGATGCAGGTATCAACTCTACATATTCAGCTGCATGGAAGATGCACACTGTCTCCCAGACTCTCCCAAGGCTGTTAGAAACTGTTTTGCAGAATTGTTACGGTTTGACCTGCTTTGAAAGGACCTGCATTGTACAGGAGGAGAAGGGCTCCTCTTTTGACAAAATTGTAACAACCCGTCAGGTCTGGTTAGGGGGAAAGCTTGAACAGAGAAAGGAAAGGATAAACCACGGGAAATCAGACAACAATGTTGACATAGTCAGTTCCTCAGTTTCAAGTAATGTATAATTTTGTTTTAAGATTTATTTTATTTATTTGAAAGACAGAGTTACAGAGAGAGTTAGAGCCAGAGAGAGAGAGGTCTTCTATTCCGTAGGTTCACTCCCCAACTGCCAGAGCTGAGCTGATCTGAAGCCAGGAGCCAGGAGGAGCTTCTTCCGGGTCTCCCACGTGGATGCAGGGACCCAAGGACTTGGGCCATCTTCCACTGCTTTCCCAGGCCATAGCAGAGAGCTGGATCAGAAGAGGAGCAGTCTGGACTCGAAGCAGCACCCATATGGGATGCTGGCGCTGCAGGCTGGGGCTTTAGCCACTGCGCCACAGCACCAGCCCTGTATTGTATCATTTTAAGATTAATAGCATTTTTTGGATTGGTTGCAGAATTAGTATACCTTTGCATCTGCCTATTGCTATGCAGTTAAATCATGAATTAGGGAGGGGGCTTGAAACAAAGCATCTTCTGCTGAAACTTTAAAGACTGGGTGAGTTGGTGGACCAGCTTCACTTCCTTGTTCTTGTGAAACAAAAATGCTTTCTCTCACAGTTGCAGACTGCATTATAGCCCATGCAAGGCTAACAGTAATACATTTGGTGAGACCGGTCCTCAGTGAAATTAATGGGATGGATACAATTTCTTTGCCAGATGGCCACACCTTTAAAAGTGTGAAATCGTTAAAAATCAAAAAAGACACAGCAGACTGAGCCACCCCGAAAGCTTTAGGCCAGAGGGCGTGAGGACCTGATTCCAGGCACGTGTGCTGACAGAGAGTTCTGGACCCTGTGCATGTGTCCATTCCTTTTCTAGCACAGTCTTCATCCTGCTATTTCCATGCTGACAACTATAGTTCTCATTAAAATGGAAGGCTCCTTTCCTTGGTTAGCCATTAGGGTCCTGTCACTTCTTAGCCCCTTCCTTTTTTGAGGATTTCTTAGTTCTTGTCCCTGTCCCTGTCTCTTACGTTCATTTAGTTATCTAATCCGTTACTTACAGGAGAGCATGCAGCCCCACCTGCACCAAGCTACTTTTTGATGAGCAACTGATATGACCCCCTGTGCCACCCTCCTTTGCCTTTAGAACCTGTTTGAAATCTGTAAGCTCTCAGGGCACAAATTCAGGACTTCAGCTCTGTGTTTCCCAGGCTGTAGCTCTAAACAAGCTCAAGTAAATTCTTTTTTTTATTTTTAAGATTTATTTATTTATTTGAAAGGCAGAGTTACAGAGAGGCAGAGGCAGAGAAAGACTGGTCTTCCATCCACTGGTTCTTTCCCCAAATGGCTGCAATGGCCAGAGCTGGGCCCATCCAAAGCCAGGAGCCAGGAGCTTCTTCCAGGTTCCCCACACAGGTGCAGGGGCCCAAGCACTTGGGCCATCCTCTGCTGCTTTCCCAGGCCGTAGCAGAGAGCGGGATCAGAAGTGGAGCAGCCCATATGGGATGCCGGCACTACAGGCAGCAGCTTTACCCACGGTGCCATAGCTCTGGCCTCAAGGAAATTCTTGATTCTTAATGAATTTGTGCCTTAGTTTCTCTTAAGGGTTAACAAAAGCTTGCTTTGTGAGACAAAGTATGAATGTTTAGGAAAGGTTTAACAATTTGTTAAGTTTTTTTCCTAAAGATTTAGTCTTAGTGATTAAAGAAGCCTTAAAGATTATCTAGTCCATTCCCTTTCTTTCCATGAGGATACAGATTTTTGAGAAGTATTTTGAGAAACAGTGGATGTTTTGGAGGGAAGACGCAGTCAGAATCTGAGTAACAGCCCTGCTGAGAATCAGTGTGGCACTCTGCTTGATTACTTTTCCAGCTCCTGGATTAGACCTCAGTGTTGGAATGCAGCTTAAAACCAGAAATCTTCGCTAAAGGTGATTGGGTTGTTTTCAGCCTTCTTTGGCTTCTGATCCTAGGTTTGATGACATGATTGATTCAAACAGTTACATAATGTGAACAATGCTGTTGTTGGATTTGATCAATATAAAGCTCTGCAATTTGGCACTAGGGCCACTGAAATAAAACATGAGCAACTAAAGCAGAATAATTTGCAAGTAAGAATTTAGTATGAACTTCTTTTTGGTTTTGCTTTGATCTGTTTTTAAGTAAGTTCATAACAGTAGATGATACCAGCTTAAATCCTTGGTTCAATTTGCCCCATATCACCTATGCTGGAAATACCTAAGAATTTGTGTTTCTCACACAATATTGCCTTTCTTTTCTGTATCATTCATGTGTTTCACTGTTTCATAGGATAACAGCTCTCTCTGCCATATTTATTATGAAGTTGAATTTTGTTTCTCAAGCTCTATTAAGGAATAGAACATGACATTTCTTCATAGTAACATTTTTTTAAAGATTTTTCACACCGTTAATGTTCTTAAGTCTCATTCTGGGAAACTTGAACTTCCCTTGCAAATTAGAGCAACTTTCCACTTTACCAAAACTTAATGTAATAACCAAGAACAACTTCTGTTTGTGCCAAATTACTTGAGGTGTTGTTGCCCAATTGTGTCAGAATTCTCTCTTTTTAAATAGTACATAGAAATCTTGGGAAATGATGATAAATGCTGAAACATAATCAAA